ACAGAGCAGCATGTTTTGCGACACATTTCTGCGGTAACCTCTTTGCAAGCTTCTTCAATTCTCTCTTGAGGTTCCTCAATTGTGGTAGGTGGCTTTCTAAACACGATGTCCTTCAGATATGCCCAATGAAAAAATTCACGTGATGTTAACTCTGGGGAACGAGCCGGCCAATCAAATGGACCACGTCTGCCTATCCAGCACCCTGGGAACTTTTCTTCAAGCCAATTTCCAACAATAACAGCATAATAAGCTGCTGCTACATCATGCTGAAGGTAAAATTTTTTGTGTTTCAGCTGAGGCCATGTGTAGTCAACCAGCATTTGTTTATATGATAAGCCAGTAACAGTATCGTTGAAAAAATATGGGCCATCAAGCTCATCAGAACGCATTCCATACCAAACCATGACTCCTTATTACGTATTTGGTACTTTAAATTTTACGTATGGATTTTCTCGGGCCCAGTACCTGCAATTGTGTCGATTAATTGTTGTATTCATATTAAACTGGGCTTCGTCACTCCAAAATATACGATCAATTAAATCTGGATCGTTCCCGAATTTTTCGAGCCATACTTCGCAGAATTCGCTGCGACGATCGAAATCATCTTCGTTTAAGTTCACTATCAAAGTTGGATGATAAGGTTTAAAGTGCAGTGGCTTCATAGCTAGTTGGTAACTATTTTTGCTAATATCAGCTCGCGGAACGCCTTGACGGATACACAGTTGTGGATTATTAGCCACTGATTCTTCAATCTCGTCCAGTTTCTCTTCAGAAAGTATAACTGATCGTCAACCACTGTGTGGTAAATCCTCCACTGTTCCATTTTTATTGAACTTCCGATTTATTGACATAATCGTGGTGACATGCGGCGAAGTTGTATCAAAATGATGGATCCATTGTCTTTGTACTTCATGTGCATTTTCAAACTTCGAAAACAGTCGCACCATCGCGACTCTTTCTTCAGCAGTACGAATCGCATACATATCAAAATATTATAAATGAAACAAGCGATGTTATGTTCTGTATTATCACATGGATCATCCTTTATATCAGTTGTGTTTTTTCCTTTCATCTTTTCTTATCATTACTTTTCAGATGTGCGTGTCTTTACTGACACTGCAACGTGGAAGAATTATGCACAGCTATGGGTAAAAATCTTTTGTGTACTGTTTAGTGGTGTAGCGAACGACAGTTTCATAGTTCTATGCTTATGAATGGATGGTTCTCTCATGAATAAAACCTTCGATATGTCTTCTATGTTCATTAAAAAAAACCAGCTCATTTGCTTGAAGAATGACGAATATATTCAAATTTTTCTTTGTCAAATGAATTCCGGGACACCCTATAGATTGTTAATTTGAAAATAATAATTATTGTATGATACAAGAAGTAATTCTTTAACTAAGATCTTTTATAAATAGTTAAATTTGGTCAAATTTATTGATCCAAATATATATAATATGTTCTGCATAAGAGAATCTACACTTTATAATGCATTTTAGTTTAGTGACTGTATGATAAGATGAGATATCTTACATGAGTCTTTATGAGCTTTCACATAGGGAAATGAATGATCTTCCCAAAATTTTTTAATTTTGCTCCCAGTACGTTTCTTATATCTTGATGCGTTCTAGATTTCCCTGACAATCTAAACGCTGGATAGGTAGAACTAGTGAGGGAATGCAGATAAACAAATGAACTGTACAGTTCGACAGACGTCTATTGTTTTTTTTCTTGTTTAATATTTGCGACAATATAATATTTCCGAGTCAACATTCCTTGATTTTCTTGCACATTGCCAGAGGAACTTTCAGTAAACATAAAATGAGCAAAAAGTTGAAAGATGCAGTTCGATCAAGCCATAGTGTTACATCCTGACCATATTATAAAACCAATCCAAGCTTCTGAGAATTTGAAATAAAAAAGACTTTTGCAATCTTCAAACAATTATATCTTGACTCATTATGTAAATGTCATTACTTATTGACTCAAACTGTTATGCTGAAAATCTTCCTGTAAGGTTTCGAGCGTGAAGTAGTGTTTTGATAATTCCATCAAAAGTCGCTGTTTGCGAAGTGTGCAACCTACATGGTGTGCATCTCTTAACGCTTTTTGTATACTCAAAAAGTGAGTACACTCTAGAATCGGTCAGTGTGTCCGGCCGTCCGGACGTTTTCACAACAGCTATTGAAAGGAGAGTCAGATTGCGATGAAATTTTCTACACAGTTCATTCTTAAAAATATCTCGGTCGAGATCGAAGATGAGAAGGGATCGATCGTGTCGCTTCTGAGTTATTGCAAAATACTCATTTTTCCCTATGGCTTTCTATGGGAAAATTGACCAATCGCCTCTCTCATAAATGGTTTTTCCTATCATAGTTAATAAAAACCTCAACTATTATGTACCATTCGACAGAGAATTTCAAGAGCTAGAGAATGATCTATAAGACATTAAGAAACAATAAGACTAACTCACCTATTGGCAAGATAAATAAGTGGGAATCATTTCGGTTTTTGTGCATGCTCCAACCGATCCCCAATAGAAACTTTATCTTCGTATCATAGAGTTGATGGTTGAAGTTTTTCTAGTATGGAATTCTCGAATTTATACTCCACTTGTCTTGAAGGCCGATCGATTGAACATCGGCCAATGGAAATCAAGTTATAGGAAAAACGACTTTCTGAGGTTAAGTTGAGGCGAAGAGCTCACATCCAAGTTGTATATGCTTCCAAGTCCCATGGTTGAGCAGTAGCCAATGCAACTGAAGGGTTTATAGAAAGGGTTTGCCAAGCAAATTTTTATAGCCAGACATTTCAAGATGACCGATTTGTATCATTCACTTTTTGAAGTACACATACTCTCGTATATAAATCCGAGATTTCCACATTGATTTTAAATAGATTTACTTGCTTTAGAATCTTTATTTATAAGATCTGAACAATTCAATGACTTAATAAATAAATATCTGAAATCTAAATCATTGAAGGGTATAACTCGACTATCATAAATTTTAATCAGCTTAGAGAGGTCGCAAATGGCAGAATGATAAAATTTCTCTTACGCGCATATAAAAGCCGATAATAGTTCGTCTTTTTTTCATCCATTTAATAGGACTATAGCTCACTTATCTATAATACTCGGAATTTTTATAGTGCAGTCTTTTCAGTTCAAATTGAATTTGAATATATTCGAGTACAATATGAATAAGCCCCAATGAATACAGACAATTGATTTCTTATTAAAAAACCAAGAAATGTATCAACAATATCTTCAGGTCGCGATTCAGATCAACATCAAGAAATGAAAGAAAACCTTACACCAAATAGTACAGTAGTATCACCAATGTTGATCAACATCTCAGTGAAAAATATTTGCTTGAAAGACTAGGAAAGAATGCATGCCCTAAATCTAAAAGCTCTTTTTCTTAAGAATAGAAAACATTGCAGAAAAACATTGGAAAGTGCTTCAAAATTGCACCACTACGAATATATCCCATGTTGTTTGAAATAAGTTCTTAACTGTCGCAGCTTTTTGGTACACTTTCTTTTCTTCAAAAGAAGCTAACCCTTTTTTGGAATTCATTCTTGCTTGTTATCGACTAATTTTAGACTAATCATAGGGGTTCTTGGAGAGACGCTATCATATAATTTGTTAAATGATCGATTCTGATTAGGACTATGACAGTTGGAAAATAGTTCCGAACTGGTGAACGGTTCGAACAATTCTTCCGAACTGAACTGAACTGAACTGAACTGTTCAAACAGTTCAGTTCAGCTCCCAGGACTAATAAAATGTCTCATATAGGAATACCCTTAGTACCTCAAGTCCTGTATATTAGGGGTATCCCTATAAAGATAAGGATTTTGGGTGAAGGTTTTTTGTTGATGGGATTATCGTTTGTGAGACTATATGTATGTTACCCAAATAAAATAGTGGTGTATCAAAATTTCGAATGTAGATTTCGAATTGAGTAACTACACAGCTATGAGAAACAATGATGTTCTTATATGGTTTCTCATGACGACAGAGATTCAACCGGATACCGTCATGAGCATTAAGTTCTTTTTGAGCTCGGCATATAACATTAAGTGTTGGAACCTTCTTTAATGTTCGATTAGTAACGATAAGAGTATCTGCATCAGTGACAACATCTTGTACTCTACTATTGGTACTTGTGTGACAATGGCAAGGTTTGTTGAAATTTGAGACACTCTAATGTGACGTTAACATCTCACGCTGTTACAGTATTCTATGGTTGAATTAATCACAATATGTATGTTTAACGTTTACCAGTCAGTGGAGAAGGGTAAAACGCTTGAATCTGATAAGATGTTTTTATCTTGGTGATATAAAAAGCCTGAAGCAACCAATGCGTTTCTTTGTCAGATAATTAACATTATTGTTGATTTCAGCAACATATCTTATGTTGCATGGAGATCTGCTGCAGATGCAATACATATATGCAATAAATGACTTTTTCGAGTAAAAGGATAGTTAGAAAAATTTTGATTTAAGAAAACAAATGGGACCTGGGAATGAAAGACAAAGAGCTCATAATAACAGGTTAATGAACATGTATAGGGTCAGTAAAAAGTTCTTTCTGAAATTCAGAAAAACCTTTGAAATGTTTTGTTTGCTGTTCGCGAAGTATTTGAAAAATGTTGCTAGTTTTCAGGATATATTTTGATTCATATATTTTTCTGTTTGGAATAAGAAGGGTAAGACCAGAAAATGCAAACAAGTTCCATATTTTAGCTTTAAAATGGATGCGTCAAGAGATCTATTTCGACTGATCCTGCTATAGATGTCATTGCTGTAAAGTCCGGTCAATAATTTCATGTGTGTCACTGTTTTTATCATTCTCATATATTGGAGTCACATGTATTCACGTATCTTTTATGTCGATATCTGTGTGAAACTGTATCCATATTTTATAGATAGAAAAGAACTTCAATCTTTGTTTAATTAAGTAAACTTAATAATAAATTAACTGATAAAAATGAAGAGAAAAAATATTTCGGAAAAATCGAACAATTTTCATGAACATGATGCTGGTGTATCATCTGGAAATCCTAAAAGCAGACAACCAGCGGAAATAAGGGGACGAGTTACAGGATTATCGGAAAATCAAATAACAAATATCTCTCGAAATCATAAGACTTTTAGTGGTATAAGTACTGATGAAAATGAGGAACCTCAACCAGCAAAACGACGACGAGTATCAATTGTATATAAGTATGTGAAAAGGATCTCAAATTCTGAATATGAATGTAATGTATGTTCAAAGGTAACACAAATACGTTTCATACTAGCCTTTTCATAACTATGATTTTTTATTTCAGATTATTCGTTGTACAGTAGATTCTAACGCTAACATTAAACGTCATCTAGCAAATGTTCATGGTCTAGATGATGTTAAACCAAAATCTCTTTCATTGACCACAAATATACAAATGGATCCATTTCGTAAAAGTAAATTAGATGAAGCTGCGATAAGATGTATTATTGTGGATAGAAGGCCATTTGGAGATTTTAGAAAACACAGTATGTCAAAAAGTTTATTTTTTGTTTAGATTTTTATATCATCAATAAGGCTGGTCGATATTTGAATATAATTAAATATAATGATAAGTTTGCTTTTCTTAATGTAAAATAAAATGTCTGTATTTTAGTCAAGGTCATGATTGATTTCTTAATTATTCTAAATAAAAATTTACTTTGACAGATAAAGACTCTGATGTTTGTTACCATATTTTGATATTTTTTTCACGCTATGAATTCTTTTCAAAATCTGAGAGCATTTAAATGATTTTCACAACTTCAGGTGTTTAAGACTGCGTAATGATATGAAAACGATTAGTCTCATGTAACTTTTCTCATTAACAATTTCAAAATTTTTTTTATAGCATTAAAAATTGCCTCTATGAATCAATAAACTAGCATATACCAAGTAATTATTTGAATTATTTTTTTCCGTCGATATTGAATTAAAATCACCGCACAAGATCAATTAAATTCTTTCCTATGCTTATCATGTTGTACGGACAATAAATATGAATGAGACAGGAAAAAACATTGTAAAAGTCATTCTTATGAAGATACGAAGTTTCGACTTCTCACAGTTGAAGCGAAAAGTTTTCGACTAAGACTAATTATACAGTAACTACTGTAAATGTCTTTTCTATTGTAATCGGAAAATATAGAAAAAAAGGAAACTATTTGACTTCTTGTATTACTCTTTTTAGTATCGTTTACTTTAAAAAGTACATAATACATGTATTTATTAGATGTCTGAAATGCCTTAAGATAAAATAACATTTAACTTTGATTTATTTTGTAATTCATAAGAGGATAAACGGTATATTTGATGAGAATATATAACAAGAAACATGCATCGCTAGTATCAGCAATTTTGACTTGTCACCTATCAGACTATAATTGGTCTTTCATTACATGGTTCATTAGTACTCACATGTTCTAAAAAACATTTTGCAAGAGTAAATCTTATTTGAATCTTTAAAGTACTACTTCGAAATCCAAAGTTTACGTATATAAATGGACCATCCGGTTTAAGCATTCTCAAATGATTAATCTTATTGATGATTTTGACAAAATGCTAACTTCTTATTCCAGTTGTAATAGATTAAGGTGTGAATATGGTATTGTTCTGAGTACATAGGAGTTCTAGCTTTCAATAAATATAAATCCTCAAGCTAATCTTTTAAAATGATAATTGTATTTAGGTATGCGTGATTTTTTGGCTGCGATCGTGCCTTGCTGTTCTGGTCCACATGAACGTGCAGTACAACGAAAGATAAAAAAGTTATATGCCAATAAACTATTAGAACATCGTGAAAAATTAAAAAATGCTCAGTATGTTTGTTTGACAACATATCTGTGGCGACGACCACAGCAGCATCACTATCTTTGTGTCACGATCCATTACGTAGATGAAAACTTTGGCAATGTTTTCAACATTCTTAGCTTTCGTTGATTTCATGGTCGTCATTTAGCTACGAGAATTAGAAGTCATATTTGCCGTATTGTAATCTAAAAAAAAATTTCATAAATTTCCTGAGTCTAAATTTGGTTTCTTCATAAATGTTTGTAATTCTTCGAACAGTATCGTACAAAGAAATTTTCAATAAATAGTTCTGATTCAACGTCTATCTAAAGAGCGATTAATATTTTAGTGAATAGAGTTACGGGAGTTCTAGGTTGAAAGCATCCAATCTTAAATTCAGTATTCACCTAGGCCTATCTGAGATTGGACGAAGTCTTAATTTGGGCTCTGACATATATAAACACACAGTAAAAACATTTCCCCAAAACATTCATATAGCTTTGATTTTCATCAGTTATCAGTTAACTTAGCAAGCACAACAAAAATAGATATACATTATACAGAACATTTTTTTGAGAAAAGTCTGCTGGATTAAAAACNCTTCAAAATAAAATTTCCTTTTTGGTCCCACGCGTGGGCCTTATTTTTGGGTTTTACCAAAAAGGGGGAAAAGTTTTGGGGGCCCATATTTTTGGGTAAAAGGGAGTCTTTTTTCCCTTTTTTTTGCCCCCCCCCCCCCCCCCCCCCCCATGTTGTTTTTCGGCACATGCCTGCCTCTTGTAATCACTTACTTTCAAATGCAGTGCATGATATTCAAATTATGAGCATGAATATGTATTGAAGCATAGAAATTTGATAGACTCGATAATTTACCTCCTACCTCAAATGTCATTTTGTTATGATTTTGAAGAATATAACCTTAAAATTGTTTTTAAGCTTCTTAAAGTAAAACTTTCCAATGGATATGGTTTTTAATCCAGCAGACTTTTCTCAAAAAAATGTTCTGTATAATGTATATCTATTTTTGTTGTGCTTGCTAAGTTAACTGATAACTGATGAAAATAAGAAAGTACTCCTAAAGTTAAAAAAATTCAAATTGTTTTGTTTACAAATAATTTCTATCACACTATTAAGTAGAATTTTAAAATTATTTCGCAAAAAATACTCTTTCAATTAAAATATCTTAATGTGATTTATTCTTATATATTTTGCTTGAAAACATTTTCTCCGCATAGATAGAAGTTATAAAATTAAAACTGAAAAAATTTACTCTTTAATATGTAAAACATTTTAATGATATATTGTTGACAAATGAAATCGATAAATTGTGAGTTGACTTTTTGAAACTTATTACTTAACTTATTATTTTCAGTAAATAAAACGAAAGATTTATTCAAAACAATTCATATTGGAAACATTTGTCTCCTTTGATAAAATTACATGACTTCATTTTCCGATTTCTTTTGGCTACAAACAATTCATATTTCATAACTTGAGTTGTTTTTATTTGAAATAAACAAATGCCTACCATATTAGTACTATTATATATTAATAAAATTAACGTTAGAAATAGTTCAAATTCTCAGCTTTTTGTAAATAGAACATTAAACCATGAAATAATATGTTTCATGCAGATTACTCTAGTAAATTATGATACCATCAATATCGAATCTCGCGTATCTGTTATGGTGCTGAAGCTCTTATGTACTTGTATTAATATTTTTTTGAAGTATTTAATTAAATAGTAATTCATCCCAATAAAAGTGTATGTATCATGCTGGAAACAGAAATTGAACTATAATATTACACCTAGCATAAAACTGACATGCACTATTAGACTTATATTATTTAATTGCCAAATAATATTCTACACTAAAATCTTCTTCATATTTTTCATTACCTTTTATGCTCAGACAACAGAGAGTTTTTCATTTCTAGCTACATCACATTGATTTTGGTATCAGAATAAACGTGTCCTTTCTCAAAAAAAAATAATTTTGACACTAGAATTCAATAGATTAATAATAACTGTTTCATATTTTTATTCTGTGTAAATTAAGAAGCTGCTAACTATATTAGATACATCGACAAATATACAGATGTTTCCGACAAGATCAGAGCTACCAAATTGAAATTTTAAAAAACAGGAGTTTCTTACAAAAAAAGCCAGAAATTCATCAGGAGTTTTTTTCTCCAAAATCAGTGGAAAAACGAGATTTTTATTGAGTTGAAAAAGCTGCTCTATATTCTATAGTATAGTAAATTGAACCGTTTCTTTCATAAACACGCTTCTTTACTTCTTGTTACCGAGCCAAAACGAAATCTTTCTCTAATAGTAAAGACTTTTTTGTTTTGAACTGGTAAGATTATATGCACTCAGATCTGATTAAAGATCTTATCTCCGAACTAATAAATCTACACTGATTTGGTTTTGGCGTGTTCGGATGCAGATGTCCAAATTTTACGGTATTGACCATTATACAAAGTGCTTCGAATTTAAAATTTCCGTTCAATTTATTGTTAGTATTTTTTCTAAATAACCAGATTGTCTTTCCAACTTGATAAATTTTTTTTTCAATATGAAGTACATTTTGTAACTAGGTTCTTCAATTTTTATCCAATCATTAGAAAAAACAATAATAGATTGTGCTGAAATTTCGTACTCAGAGGGTCCGAAATAGACTTGAATATCTTAAAATTTAAATGTCTATCCGAGCACATCAAGAGAAGCTCATATTTCGGATTTGTTCATTTGACAATGATATTCCTAGTATGACCTGAATATATCTAACTTTATTTACTTACCAAAAAGACGCATCTATTGTAAGTAGCTTATGAGAAAAAGAAGGAAAAGAAGTATTACATGTACTTTATATTACTATATATTTTACAGTCAATCATTCAGCTATACAAAGAAAGTAGAAAAAACGTGCCTAAAAATAGACAAGAACGGGAGGAAATTGATATTTTATGAATTTGATAGAAAATTGATCTCTTATTTCACCGATGAAAACATCGAAAAATACACAATTATCTTTTCTTCTGAGCTAAAATCACTTTAGTTTCACAAATTTTTCTTACGAAATTCATTATCGAATTTTCAGAAAAAGCTGGTTGAAACAACATGACATCTGATTGGTACCTGAATTCAGGTGATATTAGAATCATAGTTTTTTTTATGTTTGGCGATCTGTTTGCAGTGTTGCTGAAATCAAAGACAGAACCTTTCAAAATCAGGAGAAGCAATAGAGTTCATTAAAAAAATAGCTCCTGGTGCTAGACGATTTGTTCACCAAGGGGGCTCTAAAAACAGCTAATTTGGCAGCCCTGATAAAGAAATTTTCATAAATGCTTCAGTTGTTCTTTCTTTTTATCTAGAACGTATAAGCTTCTGCGGTAAGATTTATTTGCAATAGTTGAATGACTTTTTGGTTTCATTGTATAACTAACACTAAGATCAACATATATCCTTATTGATTATTGTATTTATGAAATAGGGTGGCATATCTGTACTTTTCGTTCTTTTCTCTCTTTCGTTTATCTCATTTTGTTAAATTAAAATATCTCTAGAAGTCAGAGTTAAAAGAAAATTTAGAAAACGGGAGAAACCAGGAGAAAATCTCGAAAAAACAGCTCCTGGTACTAAGAGAATTTTCGACTGACGGAAAAATTTAAAAAAGAGGAGACTCCTAGCTAAATCAGAAGATTTGGCAGCCCTGAGTAAGATAT